TGTACTGGAGTTCAATGAGGGCCCCGGCAGAAGGTGCAACACACCTGGGGACAGCGATTGGAGGAGGCGGACCACAGTGAAATAATGAAATAAAGGAGTGGACGAGAGCAGACGGGAAGTGCTATTGCACAGTTGAACTTGATCACGAAAATTAACAAACAGATGTTGTTGACGATGGAAGTCTTCAATAGTGTGTATCACCCGCAATTACGTACGCAAAAAAAGACACATGGGCATGATTTAGAGGATGGTCCAGATGTGTTGTTGACCACTCAATTCATTGCCCCCTAATTGTTTATCCTTTGCATATTCATTTCTGTTTTAAATAAACCCTACTAATTAAGTGGGGGGTCACAAGACATCTGGACCGCCCTGCATAGTATGTGTAAACAAAGAAATTGAACTACATTTTAAACGTATGCTAAACAACATGGATTAAGCGTGCTTGCAACGCAGGATCGTGAGAGATGGCAGCTGCTTGTGGAGGCCGTCATCCAACAGTGGATTTACCAGTGCTAATGTTGATGATGTGGGCACACGTGAAATGTTAGGGCATCCTAAACTCAAATCTCTAGTCCCTGCCATGGTCCATATTTCCACGCTGAACAATCCGTTTCATTTAAGTGCAAATGAAGCTCTTAACACATTGCACGCATCAGTTGTTCACAAGCAAACAGGAAAGTGAAGCAATGTAATTTGAGAAAATGAAATGTATATATCCATCATCAGCCAAAATCTATTCCCTGCTTGATGACGGCCTCCTTCCAAGTTGGTATCATCCCTCTTGGTCTTGTCATGCAAATGATCCATCTCAAGTTCAAGTTCATTTATTAGGTATAGCCCTGTGAGCCATTCGGCTCTTGAATCGGGTGCAACCGCAACAAACAAAAAGCAAAAACATGAACAAAAAATATCTTAAAGTGAATATGTGACTAAGTGCAAACAAAAAAATCCAAGAAAAGACAGCTAAATATTGCAGAAAAAAATCAACGCACACCAACGCTGTGTGCAAAAATCCCAGTGGGATGCAAGTCAAACAACCAACAACCACAAGACAACTTAGATTAAGGCCATCAGTCTAACTCTGTACTACAACAAACAAACATGGCTAAACCAATACACTTTTCGAAATCACCAAAATAAAGCCATGAAAGCTTCCTGCACACGAGCTGATTGCCTCGGCTCCATCGCCCTGGTGAGAGTCATCTCTGGCGCGTCCACTCTTTTGGATGCCACTCGAGGGTGAGTCGCAACCATCGGTCGTTACCCCTTCTAGCGACGAGGCAGTCAATATGATGTGTCTCGTTTTCACATGCCGTCTCATCCAACCCTTCCTCTTCTGGTCTCTTAGTACAATTCTAAGCATAAACCTCTTTGTGCACGCCTATCCAGGTAAACCATCTGCATGGACGTTTCCCATTATTTACTGTAAGCACATATTCCTCGATTGTTAATATTGTATAAATGTATTTTTTGTCACTTGTTCAACAGTAGGTTAAAACAAATATAATCTTAAAACAGGGTGGTGCAGCACTGCTTCTGTTCATTCCAAGGAGCAGCAACGATTGTGTTCAGAAGCCCTCATCCAAAATGATTGTCATACCTATGCACCTCTTCTTCAGCTAATGTCCCCACTTATAAATCACCTGCATGGGTTCCGAAGTTCACATTTGTAATTCAATGCCATAATTGAACGGCTTCTTTAATTACCGTGTTATTATAGAGGGCACGAACATGATCTTTATAATAGGTTTATGATATTAATAGGCCTAATAAATAATGTGTTTCTGATTCAAAGGGTGACCTGGGTTAATTAAAAAAAGCAAAAAAAATCACTGAATGTCAAATAATGGTCAGTGACGCATTAAGTTTGAATATATAAATACAATACTTACCCGGGGCACTCTTGCAAAAAGATATATTCTGTCTCTAGGGATATTTCCATGTAAAATATTGTGATCAATAAATAAATATTACACTTACATTACATGTATACACCCCTGTAGAGGAGATAGCTGTGGGTTAGTGTCCTATTTTTTTAAGTACAAATATGTACTTTGTTCAAAGAAACTTTACAAATAATCGTCACCTCCATCCAATAAACAAAAACAAGTGTCAGTTTTCAATTAAAGCATTCAATTCCTTGCACGTCATGAACTCGCGTTACAGGCGTCATCGCTCCACGGCAATTGCATTGCGATTTGTGAAGGCAATATATTGCACAGACTTAAGGCTCCCAGATGATTTGAATGAGTCACAGGCGTCACAAAACACCGCAGCCTTTGGCGATCACTTGTGCATGCGTCATGATACCCAGTGCTGCATAGTTGGAAATTGTTCTCCCACCGCAAAAGAAAATGCAGTAGAAAGAATTCTGTACCGGTTAGGTCACTTTTACTCGGATATGCAGCCCCCTTTGGAATATCCATTGCTAAATGAAGACCAGCCCCATACTTCACCACACTGGTTACCCCAGTTCCCACGTGTGCCGCAGGATAGATGTGAATGGACGGGGTTCGCTGATGCCGTCGGTAAAGTCATCGTGTCGCACTGGGCGCGGCTTGCAAGGGGGTTTCCTGCCTTCGGGAAACAAGATGGGCGAAGAGTTGGCCGCCATTTTTAAAGGGAGCTGTGCAATTTACCATGATAAAAAAGTTGATTACAATCTTTAGTCGATCTTAATTTTGGAGCTTTCGTGACTGCAGGAATTATTCTTTGTTTTTTTCGGTAAAGTCACGTATAAAAATAAAATAATACATTAAATAATAGCATACGACGTTTCGATTGCAACACAAGCAATCATCATCAGGTATAATGAAATAGCGACATAGAATATAACCAGAAAACTATAGACAGACATATAAGCAGACAGATATCACCAAGATACATAGAGAGAGCAACCCAGGTACAGAGAGAGGTGATCGTCTCTGTGGGGTGGCCTTAAATAGACAGAGGGGGGCGGAGGCAGAGAGAGGGAGGGGGTAGGGAAAACATTTACATGTCAATGAGTACGAAGGGAGGGGAGTAAGGTAAGCAGGCTTAGAGGGAGACAGAACACACTAAATTAAATAACCTAGCAAAGTATCGAAATGTTATGTAAAACGACACAGAGAGTCGGTCAACACACAATTAACGCATTGCCTGGTCGATTAAGTAATGCGTTAATTGTGTGTTGACCGACTCTCTGTGTCGTTTTACATAACATTTCGATACTTTGCTAGGTTATTTAATTTAGTGTGTTCTGTCTCCCTCTAAGCCTGCTTACCTTACTCCCCTCCCTTCGTACTCATTGACATGTAAATGTTTTCCCTACCCCCTCCCTCTCTCTGCCTCCGCCCCCCTCTGTCTATTTAAGGCCACCCCACAGAGACGATCACCTCTCTCTGTACCTGGGTTGCTCTCTCTATGTATCTTGGTGATATCTGTCTGCTTTTATGTCTGTCTATAGTTTTCTGGTTATATTCTATGTCGCTATTTCATTATACCTGATGATGATTGCTTGTGTTGCAATCGAAACGTCGTATGCTATTATTTAATTTATTATTTTATTTTTATACGTGACTTTACCGAAAAAAACAAAGAATAATCTTTAGTCGATTAATCAACTTATCTGTGTAACAAAAATGATAAACAAAGCATTCAGCTTACTTGCACAATTTGTTTTTTGCTTTTCAATTAAAGTATTTGACTTTCTCGCATGTACAAATGAACCTCCAATGTGAGCTTAACTATATTTTATGTATTTATTTGAAATGTATTCACAACGTTTTACAGCGTAGGTTTTCGCTGTCGTGCCACTACTTGCTCCCTTGTGGATTAACATTGATGGGATCACACCTCTTTTTTAAGGCTGGAGGACGTTTTTATACAGTCTGGCAACTTCCTGATCATGCTGTTTATAACTATCAGCGAAACGTCATACCCATTTAATTGTTGTGATATTACTCTCCAACAATCAGAATTAGAATATGTATTTAAACTGGAGGAATCCAATTAGCCATGAAGTTTTTTTTTTTACAGATCTTCAAGGGATACACTGGCGGTGCTGCTGAAGCAGTCATAAATTGGCACGTTTGTTCACGTAACAAACTTTATTTAATTGCCTTTGTAGGTTGGCTCCGATTTGCACGGTCGGCTAACGTACGAGGTGCGAAAGAGGCTCTACATACACGCGTGTCGGATGGGAGATGGTTTACGACATATACTTTATTTACGCGACATGACCCAAAATATATATTATGAATCAGGGTGAACCTTATCCAGAAAATCTCTCGAAAGTCACGGGGGAGCACAACCAGAACGCTCCACAGTGGCCCCCATCTAATCTGCTGCACGACACTAGTCTGCCCCATGGTCCAGCAGCAGAAGCAGTTGCGGTGGCGAGATAATGACTACCTAAGCTGGTATGCAGGAGCACTTGGGTTTGATCCAGACCCTGACGCCTGCTGAATATTTTGGGTTTGCGTGATTCTTTCTCACTCCGGATTTTTCTCCGGGATCTCCGGTTTTTCCCTTCACGTTTGGAAACGTGCGTTTCAAGTATCTGGCTGATATAAAATGTCCTACCAGGTAGCGACCACTGAGCTATATAGTAAAATAAAAAAAGTCCACTCCAATTTAGTGCCTCCAGGTGCTGCCCCACATTATACCACCTGCCATCTGACACGATACCACCGTGCTATGTGAGATGTAAAAAAACATCACCAGCAACTCTGATCTCCAATCCACGAAGGACTTGAACAACGCCGGCCATTCTTGGAAACAAAAGCCAAGTATCCATGCGGCTGGCACCGACCGATTATCCAGATGGACGGAGCCATGGGACACATGCGACATAAAGAACCGACACATCTTCATCACTGACCCAACAGCAGACGCCCCTTCGTTTTAACCTTCCCTTGAAAGCAGCCGACGGCACACAACCAAATCGGCACAGGGGGACACGGGCGATGCGGCCACCTGGTTCACGAGCGGAAGATAAGGGATGACCCCTTGCGTGAGTCCTAGATCGTGGAACATACCAAACCAACCTGCCCACTAAAGGTCGGTTGCGGGAGGCACTCGATTTCTCCGCTGAGGATTTCAGGAAACCATTGAGTGGATCATCAAATGAGACTTTCACGTTGTAAGCTTTTCTCATCGTACGGAAGAAGTGGTGGAGCTCACTGTATAGCTCAGCCGTGCAATAGTTAAACTTCGGATTAATTATTTTAGGCTTAATTAATAACTCTTGTTTTAACATGGCGCTGCTTACAAGATGAATGGGGATTGCACCGCCCATTATCAGCGAGATTAATCATCGCAGCTGCTCTCATTTGAGAAAAAGCGCATGTAAATCTAAGTGGACTGTGTAGCGTGTCGCGATCATGCGTTACGGCTCTCTGATAATGACCTTTGAGGCTGTACCGTGTGGTGTTGTTCAGAATACGGTGGCGAGATGTTAACTACCTTGCCTGGTATGCAGGAAGTCGTGGGTTGGATCCTGACCACTGACGGCTGTATATTTTTTTAGTTTGCATGTTCTCCCCGTGGTTGCGTGGATTATTCTCCGGGACTTCTGGTTTTTCCCTCCACGTTTATAAATACGCGGTTTTTAGAATATTTGGCTGCTAAAACTTCCACATGATAAGCCACTTTGTTGGGTTATCATTCGTGGGCAGCTCGCTTCTGATAAAGAGCTTTCTAGCTCAGTGGACCTGACTTGGACAAAAACAAATGTTATTGAAAAAAAATTCTCCACGTGCTGAGCGTCTTCTCGAGCACTGCATTAAGGGACACAATTTATCCAAAGATTGTCCACTTACTTCAGGAACTGAATTCCCTGCAAAAATCTCCTGCAAGTGGTGTTTCACGTCAGGCAGCGTGCCGTAAAACGCACGGTACGACCCGAAGACGCATCAGACAACCGTACATTTATACATGTTGGTATTTCACGAAATGTATAAATGTGTGAACCTTTTTGGTGGTGATTGAAACGAATTGTTTTTGTTGAATGGAATTATCCACGAACGCTGTTGAATGAGTTGTGGAATTGTCTCAACACGTGAAATCATTTGACGTCATGTATAACCATATGGGGTGTAGAGCGGTGGCACAGCAGTGGTTAGTACTAAACACCAAACATGACTGTCACACACATATTGGGCACGGATTTTGTTGGAATTTTACCAAACATGGTTAAAAATGTATTACATATCTGACAGATGGGGGACGGGAGGGGGGGCTGCCATACGCAATTCACATATCCCTCGGTTTTTTTCTTGCATCGTCTCTGCACGCAAGCGAGCTGAGCCGTGAAGGCCCATGCGCCGCACTCGACGCCAGCACCGTTGATGTGACCGAGCCGTCGTGGTTCTCACACAGCACGCATCGCATGGCCCCACAGCCACGATGCGATGGACAGTCCGCAACGCGCTCACTTAACGGGCGTGGGTCCTGTGGGGAGATAACGCCACGGGGTCGACAAAATGGTGACAACTCATGGATGCGAGAGAGAGACAGGGAGATAAAAATCACTCCCAACTGCTTTGATGAAACGTCGCCTAAGTAATTACCGAGCTGTCGTGTTTCATAGTTACATTAACTGCTCACTCTGACTGTCACGCAGCGCTCGCCCAATTTTCGGTCACTGGCGTCTGTATAAATGTTTTTTTTCCTTGTACATATATGTATATCTGGATGTCCTCTTGACTCGGGCTCATGATTGCCAATGAAAGCTTTTAAATATGATTCCCAACTGTCGCTCTCAATCAGTCGCAATTAGTATGAGTGCGTTCTGTATTTAAACCAGCCGAGCAAGAACGTTGAGAGAGGAAAAGGGGGGGATTATATTTTTTCATACGGAGAAATCGGTTACAAATGAATGCAGTAAACATGCAAACAAACTTTCAAAATGTCTGACGTCGTATGTACGTGACTTGACACTCAGAGCTGTTAAAAAAAAAAAACTAGCAACCGTTTTCATGATGGACCACCGGTTACCCGGCAGTTGGGAGGGAGCAACCGATTGCAGTGGAATTGTTAGCAACCAATGTCCCCTGATTGGCACTCGTGAACAAGCAAATGTCGCGGTGCTCTCAGTCACGCTGTGGCACATTTGCCCTCGTTCCTCAGTTTAAAACGTAAAGGTGCAGCCCTGCAATTGCTCGCTTGCTCACATCCACTGTTGGCGAAAGGGCCTCACGCTAAGTGGGAGCTCGAGAGGGTATTTGGTCTATTCTTCCACACTCACCAGACGTGTTAGGAGAGGCGGGCGTAGCCCCCGTCTGTGGTGCGCCTATTTATGCTGATGGGGGCGGACAGATGCGGGTGGGGGATTAATACATGTGCCCATCGCTTCATGTGGGAGGAAACTGGAGTACTCAGAGGAAAGCCACGCGTACAAGGGGATGACACTCGACACTGCCCCACGCCTACGATGGCGAGATGTTAACTCCCTCGCCTGGTATGTAGGGGCTCGTGGCTTCGATCCCGACCCTGACGCCTGCTGTGTATTTGGAGTTTGCCTGGTTCTCTCTCCCGTGGTCGCGTGGTTTTTTTCTACGGGTTCTCCGATTTTTCGCTCCACATTTAGAAACACGCGGTTTTTAGAATATTTGGCTGCTATACATTTCCACGTGATAAGCCACTTCGTTGAGCTTTATTTTGTTTTATTTCAAATTCTGAAAAAAAAGCATTCGCAACAACACATTGCAATGCATTTATGCAAAATATTGTTTTAAAGTGACATTCATTAGAAAGATATGTTTAGTTGCACTGACAATGAGCTGCAACAGAAAAGGGAGGGTGGATACTAGAGATCAACTTGCAAGGTCGCTCACCGGATTGATTTGAAGTCAGAGAGACAAAGAGTCCGAGGGCATTTCATTAACAACGCAAGGTTGGCGGTTGATTTGGGGCCCCGCGACCGATCCCCGAGGTACCTCTGGATGAATGGGGGCGCATTTAGACGGAAGGAATCGATGAAAACTGTAGCCCAGCTATGATTACAACGCAGTTCGCGAGCAACGCGCAGCTGGGCGGCAGTGGCATTCCTATGCGGGACGGAGAGGAGTGGTGCACCCAAAATTAACGGCAATAGGCCTCACTAATCCCCCCCCTCTGATCCACAAAGTCAGGGCACAACTTACTCATCCACCGTGCTACAGAGCGCAATGTTAATCTTTCTCATCCACAACTTACTCAGCCACCCTGCTACAGAGTTCAATGTTAATCTTTCTCATCCACGACTTACTCAGCCACCCTGCGACAGAATGCAATGTTAATCTTTCTCATCCACAACTTACTCAGCCACCCTGCTACAGAGTTCAATGTTAATCTTTCTCATCCACGACTTACTCAGCCACCCTGCTACAGAGTTCAATGTTAATCTTTCTCATCCACGACTTACTCAGCCACCCTGCTACAGAGTTCAATGTTAATCTTTCTCATCCACGACTTACTCAGCCACCCTGCGACAGAATGCAATGTTAATCTTTCTCATCCACGACTTACTCAGCCACCCTGCGACAGAATGCAATGTTAATCTTTCTCATCCACGACTTACTCATCCACCCTGCGACAGAGTTCAATGTTAATCTTTCTCATCCACGACTTACTCAGCCACCTGCTACAGAGTTCAATGTAATCTTTCTCATCCACGACTTACTCAGCCACCCTGCTACAGAGTTCAATGTTAATCTTTCTCATCCACGACTTTACTCAGCCACCCTGCGACAGAATGCAATGTTAATCTTTCTCATCCACGACTTACTCAGCCACCCTGCGACAGAATGCAATGTTAATCTTTCTCATCCACGACTTACTCATCCACCCTGCGACAGAGTTCAATGTTAATCTTTCTCATCCACGACTTACTCAGCCACCCTGCTACAGAGTTCAATGTTAATGTTTCTCATCCACAACTTACTCAGCCACCCTGCGACAGAGTTCAATGTTAATCTTTCTCATCCACGACTTACTCATCCACCCTGCGACAGAGTTCAATGTTAATCTTTCTCATCCACGACTTACTCAGCCACCCTGCTACAGAGTTCAATGTTAATGTTTCTCATCCACGACTTACTCAGCCACCCTGCGACAGAATGCAATGTTAATCTTTCTCATCCACGACTTACTCAGCCACCCTGCGACAGAGTTCAATGTTAATCTTTCTCATCCACTACGTTACTCATCCACCCGGCTACACAGTGCAATGTTCATCAAACTGATATTTTAATTCTCAGAGATATAAATGAGCCAAATTAAGCTCAGAACTAGAACTGTAATTCGATTAAATATTATGTTTTATTTTTATTATTTCCTTTCTACGTGACTTTACCGAAAGAACCAAGAAGATGAATCCCTGCAGTCACAAACGCTTTAAATCGAAATGTAATTCGATGATTTTCTCTCTTAGCCATCGACAATAACCTGAGCTCAGATTGCCGAATTTTTGTAGACTTAATGCGCTAACCACAGTGCCACCACTCCGCCTGCCGTGACAAAGGCATCACCAAATGCGATGACACTGTGGGGAGCAGCGGGTGGTGGAGGATCAAGCCTCATGCCCAGCACTTACAAAAATCTGGAGCTTCCACTGTGATCTCGGCTTTTCCAGCCTCAAACAAAAAAGAATCCACACAGCTTCCTGGGGTAACAGGTCTTGCGACTGCCCAGCATCCGCCGAGGTCACGGAAGCATTCCAACCCCCACCCCTGTCCTCCTGTTGTGCTCTAATTACTTAATCACCTGCTCACGTGACCTGCAATTAGAACATCCGAGGTGGATCTCATCGACTGTCTGAATTTGAGCCACGTCACATCCCCCTGACTCTCTGTTCTCGCGAGTCTCAACGACAACAACTCCGATCGTCATTGCGACCTCTGTACCGAAACGCAAACCGGTTTACCTTCCTATTCTTGGTTCTTTCGGTAAAGCTACGTAGAAGGGAAATAATAAAATAATATATATATAAAAAACTATAAAAATTCTCACGACGTTTCGACTGCGACACAAGCAATCATCATCAGGTGTGAAATCCACAGCAAGAAATTTTGAAAAAAGTGACTTTACCGAAAGAACCAAGAATATGAATCCCTGCAGTCATGAAAGCTTTAAATCAAAACGGTTTTACCTTCCGTTGTCAATTCAGAGAGAGAGATGTGCACCGGATTATTTTTTTGTCGTTGTTGTTGTTAAGACATTGACTAAGAAATTACCACCAGGTCTATCTAGGTTGTTCTTTCACACAAATAATCCGTAAGATGTGCCTCAATTTACCATTGTTATGCCCAAACACTGAATACCAGATGTACTCATCTCACGCGCGTGATTTAGGACGATGGCCAAGAAGACGACAGCGATTATCGTTTGAATTTGGCCAGATACGATTCGATATGGATCGCTCCTTCACCCGGGAGAAGTTTGCGTGCGTGCAGGTGGAGGGAGGGAAGACAACACAGAGCATGTGACGCGTGACTGGAAAGTAAAAACACTATAATCAAAGTGTCAAGTCGCTGTCTGGGGAAAGTGCGCCGTCTGCCCTTGTGCGTCACATTCGCGAGATATTTAACCTGATGAAATCAAGGTTGCCGACTGGCAGCTTGCAACTCCTTGCGTGTGATGCGGAATACAAAATAATCATAATTCCAAGGATAATTGCTCTCAGCTGATCAAGGGACAGGCTGCATCATCTTTGCGCTGCAAGCTTAATTTGTTTGCTGTTTTATTTTGTGCATTTGTACATTTGTTTATTCATGAATGCGTGTTGATCACCGTGACTTTGTGTTTCAGGCGTTGTAACGATTCACGATTCAGTGGCGATTCAGCGAACAAAAAAAAATTCGAGCAAATAATATTTTGTTTCTACATTGCGGCGATTGATACCGGCTCCGGGGAACTCCGGGGTCACACGAACCAATTGCGTGCGTGTGGCCCGTGCCCACTGTGCCACGATCTTTCCTCACCACGACCATTATCGAGGACACACAGGGTGGTGGTCATCAATCAATTATAACATACAAGTTTTGGTAGCACTCCAGCGTTGTTCCTCTCGTCAGCTGCGACACGACAACCAACATAGGCCACGTGCACACAACAAGGGTTTGGCCATGTTTGTTTGTTGTAGTACAGAGTTAGACTGATGGCCTTAATCTAAGTTGTCTTGTGGTTGTTGTTTGACTTGCATCCCACTGGGATATTTGCACAGGGTTGGTGTACGGTGATTTTCCTGCAATATTTTGCTGTCTTTTCTTGGATTTTCTGTTTGCACATAGTCACTTTAAGATGTTTTCTTGTTCATGTTTTTGTTTGTTGCGGTTGCACCCGATTCAAGAGCCGAATGGCTCACAGGGCTATACCTAATAAATTAACTTTGAACTTTCTGCCCGGGAGTGGAGTGGGCGTGGGGGGTGACGAGGTTCCACAAACGGCGTCTGGTTTATTTGTACACCTCCCAGCGGACCTGCCACATCGCCGTGGCGGTGTCACGAGTGATCCTCAAAACGCACCCCCCCCCCCGCCTCTCTCACTTCAAGATCCCTCATCAAGTGACCACGTGGCTTTGGCAATCGAGCCGCATGGTCGACCAGTGGCCATCCATTGAGTAGGTACCCAAAAATCACACCCCCCCCAAACCTCAACTGCGTACGGACGCTTGACCCCCCCCCCTCCCCGAAACCTGGAGGCTTCACCCCCCCCCCCCCCAACGTTTCATATGGGTACGCACATTGTCAGTTGACCCCCCATACGCAAGCCGTACACATTTGGGTTAACCCCCCCTCCCCCCTCCATGCTTACGGACTAAATGGATGGCCCCCTAACGCGCGTTTGACGAAGGACCCCGCTCAAAGGAGCGCCCATCTCTGCTAAGCGAATCGTGACTCAGCAACATTCAGAAGGTTGAAGCCCACCAATTACGCCCTCTCTAACGCTGGAGTGCGGATACAAGCACCATTTATTCGTAACGTGACCACACTGGTCACGCTTTGCGACATACACAGTAGAAAACAACAACAACAAAAACATTGATTCTTACACGTGCGATTATGTATCTATATTTTAATTGATTCATCGATTAAGTCATTCCACCGCGGTAATGTATCAGGTTTCCCCACGCTGAAGTGGTGGAACTGTATCCACGTCACTGGCCAGTCACATTTGAGAGCCGCTGTCAGTTAAAGGTTGTGGTTGATTTGTGAGACAATAGCCTTAGAATAGTAGGGCACCATTCATAGCCTCACACACGGGGATCTTTTGTGAACGTTCATATTTCTTTAAAGGAGGCATATGGGCCTTCGAAAAAAACAATGTACACTGTCATCCTTGACAGCAAGTCTTTTATATATATATAAAATCATCCCCTGTTATTTAAAGGAACAAAGAATCAGGAAAAAAAGTTTTGGAACAATTTGTTTTATCCGCTTGTACATTTCAAACTTGTATCTAACTCAAAACAAAAAAACACATTTGAAGGGTTTTTTTCGCGACACGTTCTAACTATAGCGGTTAATCATCCTTTACTTAGCTGTGAAATCGAGTGTTACTTGGCTCGAGACACAAAGCAGCTATCTCTCTCTCTGTCATTGCCATTCCTCTTTAACCGTTTCCCTAACGTCGCTTTCGACAACACGGTGACTCAACAGCTGCCACATTGTTGCAATATTTAATAACGCGCCCGGGAAAATTGCACTCCTGTGCGTTCGATTTTCGGAGATGTGGCTCTGAATGAGCAGACGTAATTTGTTAAAATGAAATAGGCTGAGTTCATCGCTACCGCAGCGTGATTTTTGCATTTCTGATTTTACAATTCGATTTATTTATCGATTCTAATTATTATAGAAAGAGCAATGAAATCCATTTCTGTACCAGAATCACAACATATTTAACCATTTAATTAGTTCTCAATTCAGCCTAAAACTATAAAATATATGTCAGCACTTACCTTTTAAATG